GACCCTTTGCACTCTGCGGGGATTGAGTGTCTCTGGTGAAGACGAGATCAAGAAGAGGGCAACAGAGTCGATCAGATCATGGTCTGCGAGGCATTGTGATAGAGCTCAACGACTGAAGAGACTGTGACACTGGGTAAGCATCGCTTAATAATAATGGCACCGAATATTCTCCAGGTCTCAGCAACAGGTAGGTAGTCGCAGCAGCTGCCAAGTGTCTCCCAGGCACCGAAAGATCAATTGCTCCGGCGTTTTAGACTTCGCAGCATGGCCACGGGGGACATGACTATTCATGGAAGGAGCAAAAAATCCATTCGCCTGGTCAATGGGAATCCAGCCAGAGGTACAGGGGATCCGCGGAAAGGTTTCCAAGGTTATGGCTGCCAATAGATCAAAGCCCGACCCGTGGATAGGGTTCTGAACAAGCTATATTCTGCATTTGGCTGGACTTGGGGCCCATTGTGGGAGGGGCCAGAGCGGACAATTGAGTTCCTTCAATATTTCCATCGGTCATAGACTGGTCAAGATTCTGATTTGGTTGGAGGAGGTGGACTCCCGACTGTGAGATTTGCCGTTGCCGAGCTGGAATCACCACCGTTAGAGAGCAGATGCCGAGATATGCAACTAATGAGGATACTAGACTCGGAGGAGATACACTGGACAAACTTTAACGGGCAGCAGGGACACCCCGATTGGCGGCAAACAGCATGGAGTGACTCAAGTGAGACATTGCCAGCATCTCCAACTGGCATTCATTGGTGGATCTACTCTTCTGGAATTTGGGCCTGGTGGGCCACCTGGTCCGAGTCATTCCGGATGCCATTTTTGCTCCAAATCCTGTCCATTTTTATCAACCCCTGCGATTGTCCGCTTCGCTTCTGCTATCCCTCGAAGGATTTTCTCCGGATGATCTTCGCTAGGACTATTAATTAGAACATATCCTCTGTATCCTTCATTTCATAACGCTTGCTGGCAGCTTGGCGGTGGCTGATTCAGTGAGACATGCACGAAAGTCTACCGAAGGAAGTTTCTCTTTTAATGCTATTGCTCCAGCGCCGTTATTACGTCCGGGATAGCCGTACACGTGAGTCCATGACTGGAGATACTCATTTTTTTCGATGTCCTTTGTGGGACTGAACCGAAGAATAGCCGATTCTTTTATTAAGTTGAGGTATCCATGTGTGGCCAGCTTGAGCATATAATTTTGTAACTGTATGAGAAGATCAAAGGATTGTGGCAATAATGTCTTTGTATCTGCCGAACACACTTGCCCAGGTAGACTAGACTTCTCCTAAAACCTCGATAATCAAAAAAGTAAAATATTAAGGACGAGGCATAATCAATGGGCAATACACCTGACATTGCCTCCTGCACCATTTCTCTAATAAAGAATACAAATTGAACTCAACTCAACCTCGTTCAACCAGCAGAGCTTTACAATGTTGTACTTTTAGCTGGCTACCTAGCAAAATACGCAGACCATGTCCACTCTCACTGAGCAATGCTTCTACCTTCTAGCCTTCATGAGAGCCTTCAGGATTTCCGCCACTTTGCCGCTAGTGGCGGTGCATAGCCAAGTTGCCTGATCCTTGCACCGTTGAGCGTACGCAGGATGCCAGTGAGGGGCATGTCTAGGAAAGCCCGCTTCTAGATTCATGAAGACTACACACGTGGGACTCCATAGTTCAGTCACTGCCATGTGGCCAACAAAAGCCACTTCGGCGGATCACCGGGCATATGGACTGTCGAGGAGACCCGAGATCCATAATACACAGCCATTCTTCATGATTCCTTTCCAGATTCTGTAGACACAATTTCAAGCCATGAACCAACTCGAGATGGGCATATCTGAAAGTGTATCGGAGTCCGACGACTATCGATCTTTTCCCCCCCACCACTGCCCGTGGTGGACTCGGTTGTATTACCCAATCCGGCCATCCAGGGCTTCTCTGGGAAACATCGCCGCGCATGCACCAGGAACACGCATGCATGTTTGCCAGACTCTCTCCGCTTGGTGCAGGTATCAGAAATAATAATGGAGACTCCGACGGATAGATACGCCCGATCAAATAGTTCACGCCATCGTCCCATAAAGCATCAACTTTTCTTTGCGGAAGGATGCCGAGGTAGCCTGGCCATAATCTCCCTTATCATCTCTTTCTCCTCCATCGCTCCACCATCTGGTATAAATATCTAGCAAGCTCAGGATCGGCATGATCAACCGACGATCGTGAGATTCATCCCATCCGCCCAAACTATATACCTCCTCTCGATCCCCCTCCTTTCCTCCTCCCTTCCCCACACTTCCGTCGCGACACCATGAAGACCTCATGGGCGTTGGCCACTTTGGTCGCGCTCGCCTCCGCAAAGGGCTCTTCATGCTCCCAGTGCCGTTGCTTGCCCGGTGACAGCTGCTGGCCCTCTCCTTCCTCTTGGGCCGCGCTCAACTCCACGGTTGGTGGTCGTCTGGTCGCTACCGTACCCATCGGATCGCCCTGCCATGATCCCACCTACGATGCGACCGCCTGTGCGGCTTTGCAGAATGCCTGGAATGTTCCCCAGACTCAGTATGTGGAATTGCGCTCGACCTGCCATGCTCTTTCGCAAGAAGAAAGCTGACCTCCATGTGTGCAGCATTGAATCCTCCTCATCCATCATGCAGACCTACTTTGCCAACCAGAGTTGTGACCCCTTCACCGCAGAGTCCAAGCCGTGTCTCCTGGGCAACTACGTCAATTACGCCGTCGATGTCTCCTCCAGCAACGATGTGATTGCCGCCGTCAACTTCGCCCGGACGAACAACATTCGCTTTGTCATTCGCAACACTGGTCATGAGTGAGTGATTATGGAAAAGGATACCCGAGGGAATGCTAATGGGAGGTGCAGCTACTTTGGTCGCTCGACTGGTGCTGGCGCTCTTTCCGTTTGGATGCACCACTTCAACGACGTTCAATACCGCGACTGGTCCGACGCTCACTACAACGGTCCCGCGTTCCAGGTCGGCGCTGGTGTGATGGGCTTCCAGGTGATGGAGGCGGCTCACGCCAAGGGTCTGGTCGTGGTCGGCGGCGAATGTCCTACCGTCGGTCTCGCTGGTGGATATATCCAGGGAGGTGGGCACTCCGCCCTCAGCACCTCCTTCGGACTGGGAGCCGATAACGCCTTGGAGTTCCAGGTGGTCACGGCCGCCGGAAAGCTGGTCGCTGCTAACCGGACCACGAATCCCGAGCTCTTCTGGGCTCTCAGCGGCGGTGGTGCCGGCAACTATGGTGTGGTCATCTCGGCCACCATCAAGGCGCACCCCGACGCCACGGTTGCTGGCGCCAGTCTGCAGTTCCTCTCTAGCAAGACCACCGCAGACAACTTCTACGAGGCTATCTCCGAGTTCCACGGTCTGTTACCCGCCATGATTGATGCCGGCGCCACCGTCATCTACGAGGTCGCCTCCTCCTTCTTCGCCCTCAACCCTGTCACCGCGTACAACAAGACGACCGACGATGTCAAGGCCCTCTTGACTCCCTTCCTCACCGTCCTGGATTCCCTGAACATCCCATACGCTGTTGCCTACACCGAGTACGCCTCGTACTATGATCACTACAACAAGTACATGGGCCCCCTGCCCTACGGTAACCTCGGCGTGGGTGAGTACCAGTACGGGGGTCGTCTAATTCCCCGTGATGTGCTCGACAACAACGCGGCTGGCTTTGCCTCGGTCATCCGTAACATCACCGAGCACGGTGTCCTCGCCGTCGGTGTCGGTATGAATGTCTCTCAGCCCGGTGATGTCTCCAACGCCATCTTCCCCGCCATGCGCAATGCCGCCGTCACCATGCAGATCGGTACCGCCTGGAACGAGACCGCTCCTTGGTCCCAGATGGTGGCCGATCAGTACCGGATGACCAACGAGTATGTGCCCCAGCTGGAGGCGGTCACCCCGGGCAGCGGCTGCTACCAGAACGAGGCCAATTTCCGCCAGCCCAACTGGAAGGACACCTTTTTCGGCGTCAACTACTCTCCCCTGCTCAAGATCAAGCAAAAGTGGGACCCCAACTACTTCTTCTACGCTCTCAAGGCCGTTGGCAGTGACTACTGGACCGTTGACGACTCGGGTCGTATGTGCCATGCTTGAAACCTAATCATCTAATATAGACTTTCACGGTGATGATGATCATCCTGGAGATATAATTGTGTATAGACTTTCTATTTAATACCTTGCGCACAGTTGTACATAGATACAAGATACCAGAAGTGCAATAAGATTGGTTCGAGTTCTTGACTATATACCAACCAGTACCTTCGTCCATGGCTTCGAAGCATTCGCCTCAAGTTATGCGTGGCTCGACCAGACTCTACCCTGCGAATGCTTGGCTCGGGTATGGCAGTGTCGTTCCTCGAGCGATAGACATTAGTCAAGACCATGACCATCTATACAGATACGTTAAAATCGACAGATCGGCCACCAGATCCCCCTCTACCTCCATCACCATTCAACTCCGATAGAATAAGCAAATCTCAATCATGAAATACAAGTTTACAAGCTTATCTGAGACAATTCAGTTTTAATCTATGTGGCAGATATATGCAACCATGGAGAGTCCATTGGTGGTTCACCTTCCATGGATGATGTCACCACTCTCATATCATACATAATCACGACGCACTTCCAGGCTCTAAAACCTCGCAATCATTCCATACAGCGGTCCTGATGAGAAAATAAGGTATAAGGTGAAGTAATGCGCACTGCTCTAACCAGTTCTGTTTCGTAATAGTCCCAATGAGCGCTGTGTTCTGTGGATGCAATCCCCCGCGCCAGCGTATCGGACGCGAAGCCAGACGCAGGGAGAACTGAGATACTCTAGTGGCACCCCAATCCAACTGACATAACCTTAATGTCCTGCTTTATAGCATCGAGGACTGGCCAGACCGAGTACCCCACCATCGCAGACCAACGAGATGTCGACCATACACAGACGTACTGCCGTCATCCGTCCTTACCATAGTATATGCGTGCGCATTGCGTCCACATAAGTAGGTAGCTTAGTACAAAACACGTAGGGACCCTCGACAGCCGGATAATACTCTAGACCTATCTCACGAATTGTCTACTGTCTGTTCACCTCCAACCGTCATGTCTTCTGTCCCAGTCAACAGGCAAGAATCCAGGTCTCGTCTCAGTGGCGCCAACTGATCTAAACATGCATAGTCTAAACGAGTATCGCGACATCCTCCACCGAGACAAATACGCCATCCTCTACTTTTGCGATTCCCATCGGCAATGCGCCTCCCTTGATCCCACCTACAACGACATGGCGTCCGCTGTTGCCGACGCCGACGACATGATCGACTTCTACAAGATCAACATCTGGCAACATCATGACATCTCCGACGCAGCGATGGTGGAGAAACCGACCCTCCTCCTAGTAAAAAATGGCCGGGAACTCGAGCGCTTCTGTAAGCCTGTGCCGCAGCAGTTGGAGTACATGGTGTCGCAGGCCCTGTGTGGGATGACCAAGATATCGATGGTCCCGTATACGGAGAGGGAGGATCCTGGGAATCTGATGTACTGTATCCCGGCGCACAAATAGTCGTTAATGAGGTAAAGTTGTACTTTAAAGCATTGGTGGCTGAGTTGCTGTAAATCGGGGGTTACCCTGTTGTACTAAAATTGTATATGATTAATTGTTCTCGTAAATAGTGACTGGTTGATATCTGAGGAATCACCAAGTATATATGGTTCTCTTCATATGATTTTATATCAAATGTTGTCGTGCAGATAGTGGCATGACTACTGGCACTGCCTCACAGTATTAATATTCCATGCATGAAGCAATCAACATAGGCGCTCTAGCTAGAAAAAGGCTAGTAGGGCTTGAAACCATTCGACAAACCAATACGCTTGTGTTAAACGATGGGAAGATAGTTGATTATCTAGTCATAATACCTTAATATATCCATGTTTCTATCATCCAATCGATGAAGGTATGCCTGCAATGCACTCCTGGCTAACTGCACATTGTCCGATCATACCAATTGACCCAGCTATCCTAAAGCCACCCAAAGATCTCGGAGTGCTTTCCACTGGTTTCTCCCGACTATACTACATCGTGATGCTTTCGACATTGAACATGCTTTCCAGCCGCCGCAAAGCGTTATCCGTGAGAGTCGTGCCGATCTTCGCATACTTCTCATCGTTCCACACTGGAACACTATACCCCACTGATGTTGCTGACTTGAAGGCCAAGGGACTTGTCCATCTCTTTCCGCAATAAAGGCCAACAAGGCAAGAAGTGAACCAAGATCCATAGGTTCGGCCACTGAGGCAAGAAACGTAGATGCACCTCCATATTGGTCCTGTGCGGACCGCACTCGATACCCTGTAGTTCGGCTACTGTGAGTTTATTGTAGACCCAGCGAAACCGGGATATAGCTCCTAAGCGTCACTATCGTAGGCTGGATCTTGCAATTGGTCGGACAATGTGCAGAACCAAGAGACCTTTGCTAGGAGGAGAATAGAGGATTGGCATGTCGTGTGATGTATATCAATCATACAGCAAAGGATTATACAATGAACTAGGTTGTCACAGAGACCAGATGTCCATGCCACAAGTGCCGCTTAGAGAAACATACTTGGATCGCTACTAGGCTTCGATGCTAGGGTTGAATAAGAATCGATGACACCGTCGGTGATACAACCTCACGAAAACGGTATATATTAATTCACTGCTCAGAATGCACGTCTGACAGTCTAGAATCCGAGCAAAAGCGGCGCTGATCTTGTCCTATCTCGGAAAGGAATGCCCCAAGGCTTCCGCAGAAATTACTGTTCGGTAAAATATATAGGCTCTTAACCATAAGTTAAGAAAGTCGCGTACAAAAATTTGCTTAGAGATATGACTAGGAAACAGGCCTAAAACATCTGATTTTACAATGTCTACCAGAATTCCTTGTCCCTTGAAATAAGAGGAACATGTCAAACATGTGGAGAATTCACTACCTGGCGACATTACCTAACTAGGACTAGCCTGGGCTGCTCCTAAGTCTTTTGTTATCATCACCAAAACATCAATTTTCACCACATCAATATCCACGGGTAGATCATGTCAAGCCTTTTACAATCTCGCTGGGCTCCTAAACCCAGCGAACACAAAACACAAGGCCAACCACCGCCTGCGATCCCCTCGCCAGGACGCCGAATGCTATTATCTCCCGCCGGAGAATTGTCGCGCTTCATGAAAATCGTCGCTCGCTTAAAATGGAAACTGCCTTTCTTGGCCGAGGGCTACCGTCTCGCAACTCTCTGCACAGATTCTCCTGAGGCTGTCGCTCATGCCGAAGTCATGTTCAAGATTGATTTTCACGAGTATTATGCGCTTCTGGAACGGGCGCTGGTGCACTTGCTCGGCGTCTTTGGCATCACCGTATCGGCTGCAGGCAAGCCATCTGGCTCCAACTCCGTCTGGAGCACGCATCGGTATCATGCCAATGTTCTGGAAGCTCTTGAGGATGAGAACTGCCCTCTACGTTCTGTGTTTCGAAAGGGAAATGTCTTCGAGCAATTGAAGAAAGCAAAGGAACTGCGCAACCGCTGGAAGACGGCAGACTTGACCGAGCAAGAAAAAGAGCGAGAGTCTATGTGGTCGCCAAGGCGAGAAGCGACGATGCCGCTGCAGAACTACGACTTTGACAGGATGTTGGCGGATATCTTTGACGGCCTGGAGGATGGATGCCGTCTGGCGCAGGAACACGTGGCCAACATCAACGAGAGCAACCATACTCAGGCACCAACTGACACTTCGAACGCCGATTGGGATTTCATTGTTGATGCGATGGACTGGGAGGCTGTATGATCATCCACCTGAAGGGTCTCTCACATTGTAAATATCATGTACATACATTCTCTATCTTTTCGACGGTGCAGTAGATTCTAGCATATGCATATGTTCTCAAATTAGACTAACGGTAAAGGTGCACCATTATGTACACTCCGTGTGCCATGCAGAACCTCTTCGAGACTGACCGGCTGTATCTATATATCGACAAAAATATGAATACTGACAAACTGTTAGGGCAGTGTGACACGCTGCCATTCTGAATTATATTGCAATGACTGACAGCAACAGTAGCGGGGTTGCTTGCTTCAATGCTACCAGGACTGCTTTGGGGAGAACCAGCCTTTAATGCCGTCTGCCATATCATCGCAAGCTGTTAGACGAGTCGATGCCCATATCCCGAACTCTCATCCGTCGGGTGTCCATCAACAAGAACCGATGGTCATGGCGTACCAACTTCCGAAAGATCAATTGTAAAACTGCCCATCTGCTTCCCCGAAGCAGCCAGCACCCTGACCTGAGGTATCTGCCACTGTGGCTGATTCCTTGCATACTCCTCAAAGGCATCTCTAAGCACCTCAACAGGATCATGCTTGAAGTACACAGCCACCGGTGTCCGCGACACAATCAAGTCCACCTCCTTCAATGCCTGCATGCACCCCAAATCCCCCATTCCGTACGTCTCAAACATTACAAAATCATGAACCTCGATGATCATGCGTTGAAGAGCATTGCGCTCGATCTCACCAAGATAAGCTAGCACCGCTTCCGCCAGATGCACCGTGTCCCGCTCGGGGGCAAGGTAAATGCAGGCATGCGGCGATTCTTCCGTACGGAAGTAGGGGCCAAACACCCGTAGGGTTTCCTCGCGGGCTTCCCGGTTGACCATGAGCTGTGCAGGATTGGGATGGTTGACGCGGAAGCCGCGGGCGTAGCGTCGGGAAGTTGGTTTAATGCCCCGATCACAGGTTATGCGAATGACACGGTTGGTGGGAAAAGAGAGATTCCATATATAGACGCGAATCTCGGCTGGCAGCAGGGGGAAGAAGTGGAAATTCGCGGACATTTTGTTACAGCTGACACGTGGCTTGAAGTTGTATTCGATCCAGCTGACATGCGATAATAACAGTAGTATTGCACTCAGTAAGGTCTTGAGTATTCGAATGACTGCTGTATAAATGACACGTCCAGATACGTGGTTGTTTTCGAGCTTATCAAACACATCTCTTACTAGATCAGGGCCAAGACAAAACAACCTTAGCGCTATGCAGTCAAGCGTCGAGGTTAGGTCGACAGTACTTTTGCGGTCAGACTCCTTCTATCTCCTGACTGGGTAAGATGCAAAAAAATACTGTGCCTCACTTATCAAAAGCCATATACATCTGGCCATATTCCGATCAGGCCTGGCAAATCATCCTAGCTTCCTTCACCAAAACATTTATACCCTAGACCAGGCAAACTTCAAATAATGCATCCTTCTTGAGGTCTAAATATCTCACTGAATGTGCTCATCAGTGGGTACCCGCCGCATGCCTCAGAGAAGCTGCTGCTCTTCTGACCTTAGCTTGGCCTGTATTGCATTCCTCAATGCGCCATCCCATAAATGAAAGCGTTCAGCTTCTGATACCGCTTGCCTCTGTCTACGACACTTGCTTTTATCGGGTATTTGCCTGTTTATCTTGATGTGGGAGCACTAGGTGCTCCTTTTGAGTCATTAGGTGAGTTGGATGCCCCATGCTACGAATATAGCTTCGCACTCCGGATGAGGTTGAAATGATGAAAGCTATTCCAGTTACTGGTTCTTATACTAAAGTACTCAAGCATCCTGCCATCGAGTGGCGACTACGCCAGGATGTGGTCATAGCACGCAAAGACAATGAGGTTTATTTATCCGCCAGTTCAGACAGTCTGACCATATGGACATAAGCAGGTGCAGACACGAATTCGAGTGGTGGAAGAGAAAGATTCACCTGGAATCGCATGGAGAAACCAGACTGGTCGATATAGAGAGAGCCACTCAAATTCCGAAGTATCAGCATCCTCGTTTCAGCCAAGTCCTTGGCAGTCATCCCGATCATATTCTCCGATGACACCGTGACTCGCAAGGTGTGGTCATTTTATGATTTGTGCGAGCAGACATCAGTAGAGCAAAGATTACTCCGGACGCCATGCTTGGCAACATGGACTACAGCGTTCATCACTCCATATCCGCCTATCTTGAGCCAAGCCAGGGCACCTTCATTTGACAACACTTGCTTCAAAGGCGGGCTCCGGTTGCGATTGGAGGATATGATAGGGAAATAGTTGGAATGACCTCACAGCTGTCCCTACTATTCCACTGTTGTGCAGTAGCATAAACTGCACGTAAATTGCACGAGATTGCGAGGTGCAGCATGGTCCACCAATGATTTTTCCATCGCTCAATCGTGCCATTTATTTATTCCTTTGCACTCATTCCGCTGGCTATAAAGAATCGTAATCTCACCTGTGGACATTCGTCTTGAAGACCAGACGATTCGATCCCTATTACCAGACCCTCACTATGTTGTCAAGCATTGCGGCGCTCCCCGTTCTCGTTCCTGTCGCTTTAGCATGTCTGGGGTACGAGGGAGGAGTTCCTACCCCCACCGCTTATCATTCCAATAGCGCCGTGATTGAGGTTGCGGCGGGACAAGTCTTCGACGGCGGGTGGGCCAAGTACGACCGTGGCTCTGGCGCCTGTAACGGCCAGTCCGAGGGCGATTGGAAGGACGCCGTATTCTACCTCCACTCCGGTGCTACTCTGAAGAACGTCATCATCGGCGCCAACCAGGCTGAGGGGGTCCACTGTGACGGTCCATGCACTTTGCAGTTCGTCTGGTTTGAGGATGTCTGCGAAGATGCAATCACCATTGTGAGTATCAAGGCACATATACATATACTTGGTCAGGTCTCATGATGTGGCAGAAAAACGACAAGGCGGGCCAGGAGACTTGGATCATCGGTGGTGGTGCCTATCACGCCTCGGACAAGATTGTCCAGCACAACGGTTGTGGTACTGTCAATGTGAGCGATGATTCTTTCTCCTTCCCTCAACCAATACTCAAGGATGTAGATCATCAACTTCTATGCCGAAGACTACGGCAAAGTCTATCGCTCCTGCGGTAACTGTGACAACCAATGCAAGCGGAATGTCTATGTCGAAGGCACTACCGCGCGTGATGGCGGCGAAGTAGTCGGCATCAACCTCAACTACGGCGATACGGCCACTCTGAAGAATGTGTGCACCGACGCTGACCATCCTTGTGTCTTTTATGATGGTTGTGCGGGTGACTGCGAGCCAGAGAAGGTCGGATACTGCTCAAGTTAAGTGCATTCACCATCGACGGGTCGACCACGATGAAGCAATCAAGGATACAAAAAGTCATTCTTTAGATGAATGCGATCCTCGTGGCGTGAGGACATATCTCTTTAGCTCTGCGATTAATGTGGTGATTGAGATTAGCCCTGCAACAGACCCCAAATGATGTCTAGTTTATGGTCAAACACGGCGTCAGACCAGATAAGTCTTTTCAGTCTTTGCTTCCAGCAGATGACCGAATGTATTTCGAGTGCCTGAGACAGTAGAAGCAGGCGGCTGTGGAAGAATTGCCGGTCCGAGGTTGCCGTGGCCTCCAGGTCACCCACAGTAAGGAGCCATAACGTCAATTCTGAAGGGACTGATGTTGGACTGAGAGCCTCCACCGAAAGCCGTAACTGCCGCACATGTGCTTCTGTCACTACTGGGCTGATGCCAGACATCCGTCGAAACTCGGCGAGATATAGCAACGCTCCGGATCGAAGGCCAGAGCATACGGGACCAAAAGTGTATGCATCGTAGCGCAGTGACAAGAAGCGATGAGTAAGTGGGTGAATTAGCCTATCAACCTCTACTGGATTTGACCAGATAGGGACTTGCGGAATTATCTGTATGTTGATCCATTGTAATAATTGAAAAGCTGAGAGCAAGGGCGCCGGAAGATCCAAAGAGTTTAAGCACTGTGGCACAGACCTGGAGTGGCTATGTATATAATCAACTTCCCCATTTATGTCTCCTAGAGCAGGGGCGATGTCAAGTGCGTAGGAACCAATCAGATCCACCCTGTACTTGTTAGCAGAGCGCCCCAAGTGAGAAGAATTGGGCCTGTGTGTGCGAACCATTTAACCACCGTCACCAACTTCTCATCCAATGCCTCCAGCGATAAGCCCAGCTTCTGAATAAGTCTTGCCACAGCCGCCATGTGCGATCTCCATGAAACCATATCTCTTTGCAGGTGGGAATAGCACGCTAAGGCAGTAATCGCGCTTAATGTACCCTCTAAGACTTGCTTACTGCCTAGCGACATATCACTGATAGCACTCCGAACCCGCACAAGCGCTTTAGTATGATTTGATAGTATGAAGCGCTTCAAGTCGTCTTGCATGTGGTAATGTGAGATATGGGTAGCATATGTAGCCAACATCTGGTCAAACGCGGCGGAATTCGTGATGCATATTGGATACCAACGGTCTTTGTATATTCGAAACTGGCTCGGGACGGCGTCGGAGAACACTGGGCGGAAAGATCAGTTAGTACGGCCAGATGGAATCACAGATCTATGAAAAGCAGCATACTGTGGTGAAGGAGGCACTGCGACTCCCTATCCAACACAATGCGACAGGTCAGGAGCGACGGGACATGGGCCGACGAGGTGGGACACTCTGGGTCTTGACGCCCTCCAGACTGAAGGTCAACCAGGAAAGGGCCGGAAGATGAAGCAGAAGCTGTCGTGTCGCTCGATATGCATGATGATGTCGAAGGACTTTGAAGTAATGCTGTGTGAGTATTCCGGCGGGTGTAACCAATATCGCGCATGACGCGCTGTCGCACCTGAGATTGCTGCCCGTTGGTCAGACGCGGCCGCGAGGGAGTGGTGGTGATGAAGACCCATTCATTGGGTTGAGATTGGGAAACAGGAGCCATGGTCCGTCATGTCACCTCTGAGGTGTACATTTTGCCCAGTGTTGCCATGGTCGCAAGAGGGAGAGGTGAGCAAGTTGGCTTATCTCCACAACAAAGCACCTAGGCTACATCATCCCCGCCGCTATAGTGTCATGTGACGTCTACTGAGTACAGTCGGCTATGCGCAATCGATTGGACTCGACTTTCTACATATGCCTTTGGGCAGAAAGAGAGCATCGGAAATTTAACGGAGATATCAAAGCTCGTATTCCACAGAAGGTTGATGCATGCAAAGCGTCTCTACCCGGATAGCATAGGAGTAGGACTATATAAATATGTATCTGGCCTCATGGTACACCCCGCTAACTTGGGCAAAACAATCTCTCCCTGCATTTTGGGTATCACTTTTTTTGGACAGGATAAGGATGATGTTCGTGTATAGCACAGATCTTAAAGCAAAAGCGCAGCTTATCGTACACAAGGGGGTTTACTCGGCTTCATCAAAGACGTCTTGATAAAACCAGGACGGCTGAGGGCGACGATCTTCAGCTCCAGCGAGGCGCAGAGGTGGCAGACCGGGAGAGCGCATTTGAAATTTTTAAGGCAACTGGCACGACCAGAGAACTGTCCTACAGATGTGTCTAAGTCGTCGTAGATAATACGATACCTGTGAAGCCTTGCTCGGCGGCTTGCTTGAGATTGTCAGGTAGATCTTGCACACATGCGCGACCAGACATGGACCACATCGCTGGCTGGCAAGGAGTTTTTAACAATGGTAAGGAGAGGAGCTGTTTGGAGTTCTTCTAAAGTTTTGGTGATCGGTTCGTTGGAGAGTTGATCATGTTCATCAACAGGAACCCCTGACCTCCCACTGACTGGCTCAATGAGCTATTGTCCAGATGCAGCGCACAATTTGCGAAGATCGCTCTTGATTCGAGCAACTGTATGCCCAATTAAGATATGAGTATATGAGACCGGTTCGTCATTTCGGTAATTCCACTAGATCTGAGGAAGCAATCCAAGTAAATGACGCACCGGTTCCTAATTTCTCAAGCGGATTCACTCCGCAAACCCCTGTCTGGGAATACGGAGCAAGCTTTACCAATCCCTTTGTTTCCCTTCTCTCTCTCGAGTCGGAAAAGAAAAAAAATTACAGGTCTCTACACAAGCTGAGTGTCGCCTTCCTGGGTGCTCTCCCTGTTGGGTCGTTGCTCATGGAATGTACAGACGGCATACAGCAAAGCGATACCAAATGCAAGTGCAGCTAGTCCCACAGACGTCCACAGAGCAGCACGGTATCCTCTTAGCTGGTCCACGCCGTGATGACTTACTTCGGCCTCCACAGTCCCAGCTATCCCTAAACCGATGGCAATGGAGTAATTGATGACGGTGTTGACTAGTGATGCCGAGGCTCCCTGGTGCTTGACAGGCACTGCATCACTCAAGATAGTAGTGGACGCAGGGAAGGAGATATCCATCCTGTGGAGGATAGGTTAGCTTCGCTCATGTTGAGCAGGGCGTGGTAGGGCCTTACCCCCAGGCCATGATGACAAACGACCAAAATGTATTCAACCAGTAGGACTGCTCTACTGGTGCCGTACTCTGCAGGAGACATCCAGCAAGAAACGCAGCACAAGCAATTGCCATTAGCCAGCTGCTAGAGACGACAGCCATTAGATAGGGTGTCGCAAGGGCAGCAAGGATCCCTGAGATGGCTCCTGGCGCGAACTGCACTGCTGAATCCAAAGGCGACACATGTCGGAAATGCTGGATAAACTGGAACAGATAATAGAACCAAACACCGAAACTGCTCCATCCTAAGCCGGTTGTCACCAGCACTGCTACAACACGTCGACTAAATATGGATACGTCCAGAACCGGATCCACGGCGCGCCGTTCCTGGAGGAGAAAAAGCCCCAGAACGAGAAACCCAACAATCAACAGCACATACACATAAGGCGTGGACCAGCCGTCGATTGGTGCTTGATTCCATGAGATATTGAGCAAGAGTAAGCCTGCAACGCCCAGAGCAGACCCGATATAGTCAAACTGGGCACCAGCGCGCTTCCCGTGGTGCGGATAGTCCGGTGGAATAACCCAAAGTCCAATCGCACCAATAACGAAGCATCCGATGCTGTACGTCCACATCACCCAGGGCCACCAGACATACTCCGCAAAGGCCGAACCGATGACTCCAGCGGTAAAGCACCCCAGTGGCGCGGCCACGGCAAATGCGGAGAAGACCATATTCTTCTTCTTGCCCGGTGGGTAGGTCCTTCCAGCAATGGCGAGCGCATTAGGGAGAAGCAATGCCGGCCCAATGCCCTGGAGCGCTCGAGAAGTATCAAAAAACACTGGTGAATGCGTAAAGGCACTGCAGCCGCCAATGATGGACAAGACACCAAACCATGCCCAACCCACGATAAGGATGCGCTTGGAACCATACAGATCACCGAGCTTCCCCGCAATCAGAATAAACGTGCCCACCGTCAAGCTATAACCGCCCACATGCCAGGCCATCTGCGTGACCTCTGACGGTCCCTGACCGAACGTGTGCCCCACGATATACAAAGGGATGAGGATGTATCCGAAGGAGCCTTGAACGAAAAGTTGCGTGGAGCACAACACAATAATGAAGAGCCATTCCTTCAGCCCATGAGGCGGTGTCTGGTAGACATCGGATCGTTCGGCCTCCTGTTGTGCGTCGCCTGGCGACATCAAAGACTTGGGACCGGCATTGGACTGGAGGTAGGTCTCGTCAGCGCTCACTGCCATTGTGACTATTAAAGCAAGTCTCCAGGATGTTTCCGAAGCGGAAGCGGAGACATTGGGATGGACATGGTTTTAAAGAGAGACACTGAAAAAGCAAGGAAGCCTGCGCATAGGGTCTGTCAATTTTACTGATATTGACGTAACTAATCTATAGTCCCCCGTAAGTCCAAAAACGGAAATGTCGGGCCATTCGGTAAGACTAAGTGGGGCATGACAGGGGACCAAGCTCTCGATCTGGCCTAGCGTGGTTGTCCAATCCTTGGGTTGCAGTGGGGCTGACAGGGGACCAGGCGCCACATTGGGGCTAGCGCTATTTTCAAATGAATATTTAAGTGACAATTGGCTATCTAAATAGCCAATTGCGGCAGATATGGAACCGCTTCCACGTCGCAAAGGAGCCCTTTCCAACCTACAGTCGTGCGTGGCTTCTCCGGATCTGCTGGCATAATAATGCATAACTCCGGGGAGAGTTGGATCAACAAGAGTCCTTCGGGCCAGTAAGATACCTAGGAGAGCAAGGGCAGGGGCCTCTCAAGTCAATTAATCGCCTTCCTGGCTGGTGCATGAGGCTGTATTAGACGTCACATCTCCTATCTACAATTCAGCATCCTTCTAGCCAGCCTGGGTCATCGATATGACTTCGAGACGTGGATTTGGAGTGAGCGCAGCAGGCGAGAAACGTTGAATGTAATTATGGGTCCGATGCTGGCGAATATTCAGAAATGCAGCATATAGTCATCTATATGTCTTTTAGGGGGCTGTCCTGATCAGACAACCTGGCTATTTCTGGGTTGGGGGCTGTTGGCCGGACGGCTTGTCTCTTTCTCCCCATTAGCTGGGTACTTAGTGTAAGGGATCTATCTGGTCCGGATTCTGGAGATACCAGGCATCTCGCCTCGCGGTAATGACTGCCTTTGTGTTGTGGCCAGATGAGTATCCGGCTAGCTTTGTTACACATGAAGTGGGTAATAACTGCATTACCTGAGTAAAAAGAACTAATTACTACCGCCAGAGTTCTTAGATGATAACAGACACAGTTCAACTTGTGGCCCCATTTCTTGTTAATGTAATTATCACCGCCATAAGTAAGATGTCATTTATAAGGTGCGGAATGGAAAAATGGCGGTATAGAAACAATGCCTGTGACAATGGTTTTAGGTAATATCTGCGGAACAATCCTGATTTGCGAGAGACAAAGAGTATACCTACTGTATCGGCGTTTAGTCCTGTCCCTGTTCTATGCTTGCCATTTCTTGGATTATCTCCTTGGCCATCCTGCGTGTCTTTCGATCCAAGGCAGTCACCAAGCTGATCCATTCAAATCTTTCTTTCCAGAACGCCCACCGTTCCTTTGACCAACCTTCGGATCCTGTCCACTTCGTTGGAAACTCTCTTCCCATTGATCCTTCCATTCCATATATTTCCCTGCCACAATGTCTGATCCACTGTGCTGCGGCAGGTACCCATCCATTGAGGGTCCTGATATCAATCTCCTCCAGCAGGCGGTCACGTAGCTCACAATACTCCTCGTCATCGTCATCATTGTCAAGGTCCTCCAGTTCCTGTTCGATATCTTCATGGTGGAATTTCTCCCAAGGTGCTTTCTCCAGTGTCTTTCTCAAGACCCAGCCACCGTGACGAAGATGACCCACGTTATTAGCACGGATGCCCCGAGCATAGAGCTTGGCTGCGAAAGAATTGACATTGACCCAACTTTGCCGCTTTTCATCGCGCTGAGAATCGTAAAATGGATGATCGACGTCTACTTTGTTAGTTCGAGGTTGTAGCTGATCTTGGAGAAGACATACAGTCAAAGACAAACTCCGTCATATATTCACTGAGCCCTTCAAGCCGGCTAAAGGCTCCGTTGCAGTCAGACAGACGCTTCAGTTCCGCAACAAAGTCCACTAGGCGGTCGTTATGGCCCGTGAATTTACCGATCGCTGCAAAAAGGAGAGGCCATAGAGATGTGTAGTCTGGGTCTGGATTGGACTCCGCGATGAAGCACGACACTGCTTCTCTGGCTGCCGCCGATGGTGGAGTGGAAGGATCCGCCAAGAGTGACTTGATTGCTGAGAGCATGTTTGTAGGTGGGGGATATTTTTTCTGGCTCTGCGCCGTGATGAAAGCCTCATATTCAGAGTCCATAATGTTTAGATTTTGGAGATGCTGGACGGTTATGGTCGGTTGTTCTCACGAAGAAGATTTGAAGGGTGCTTCGTATTAAAAACCTAGGTCTGGGCTGTGTGGGATTCTGGTTAACGCCAATCTGTTATCTATGAGACAAGGCTGAATTAGCTAATTGTTCCTTCAAGGCTTAGCTTTCAGCCACGAATAATAATAGTATGACCAAGTGGAAAGGATGAAAGTGAAACAAGAAATGGCCCCCACATTCTCCGACCCCAAAGACATGGCGGTGCAGTCGGTGGGTCCCTTAATGATGATCAAACTCTCAAACAAAGCAGTGTTGGACCATCCATTTTCCAAAGAAATTACTGCTTTATCTAATGGGCTCGAATTGAGATGGGTGCTAGTACAGTGACGCGCAAAATGAATCTGGGGCAATACTTGACCTTAAAAAGGTTTCTATGTCCAAAGCACGAATCCATGTATAAAGTACGATTAAGACCGTGTTCTATATGTTCATGTATCTGAACGACTCATATAAAAGGACTTCTAGGTATTATTGCCATTTTTTAGAGATAAATGCCTGGTCTAGAAACTGTAGTCATCGCGTGCTATTCTCCTGCCACAGGCTCTTGCTTCCCGACACTGTATACATCTGCACAAGGCTATTGCTTGAAATTGGATCTGCTTCTTCTCTGCTCAGCCCCAGGGCTGCAATGTTGACTGTGGGTTGCTGCATATTTGGCCCCTTTTGCGAATGCCTTGGATCTTCACGACAAAAGCATCACGATAATGACTTCCGACAGGTATAAAGGTATCTCGAAAACCTGCCAGAGCTTCAGTTTATCAACTTACCTCTACAGCACTCCGCAGCAAGATCCCAGTCTCTAAACAAATCATTACTGAAAACCTGTTTTTGTACCTCCAAGATGCCGTCGTTCTTCCATTCTCTGGCTCTCAATGCTCTCTTGGCTGGCGCTCTTGTGGCCCAGGTCACCCATGCCTATCCCCAACCTATCGTGCATTCGGAAGATTATGACAGTATCACCAGTGTACCAGTCTCAATGGTGCCTTCTGTTGGTGGGGCCGATGGTGAGCTGTACAAGCGTACGGACGATCTGAAAATCGCCCAAGAACCGGATAAAAGCTACAGCTGCCCTGCGACGAATAACTATGGAGAGACGTCATACACCTCTGGACAGCTCAAAGTTGCTTTTATCAAGGCAGCGCAATACGCCAACAATGGCCAGCAGATTGGAGACAGTCAGTTTGCAACCAATTCTTGAAGGCAACCCTACTCACTGCTGCTTAGGAAACTACCCGCATACCTTTGGCAACGGCGAAAATCTTCCCTTCCCCTGCGGCAGGAGCACCATGGAATTCCCCCTGGATCGAGACAGTCCGGGCACCGTATACAGTGGGCAGAGCGTGAGGACCTTGCCAGACCGTCTCGTCTTTGAATTTAAGGATGGCAAAAAGGAGGGAAAGGCAAAGTTCTGCGGGGCGATGCGCCATGGAAACAACGGCGATTTTATCAACTGCACTTAGATATTACCTAGAGGGGAGACATTTATCTGTATTGGGCTAATTGATTCCATTGCTTCTACATGCTATATCTCAGTCTTGTGTAGAGCTCCAAGCAAACCAAACAGTTCAATTTGCGTGGTCGGGATACTGTGTCCAATTCCAGCATGAAAGCATAATAAGGGTGAGGCTGGAAGAGTAAGTTCTCCTGATCATAAGGACGAACAAAAGGTTCCCCCAGGCCTCAGCATTGAGCCTTATTTACTACGGGACGGAAAGTATCGGTATGACTTTCTATTTATATCCGACATTTTCCGACGATGACTGTGATGGCTTCCGTGACAAACAAGCAACACTCGTTCGCGTTCTGTGCGAACAAGGAGCACCCCCAGGTATTGCAAAATGTCTTCAGAATCCAAGACAAAAGTGGCTTGCAAGTCCTGTAATCTTCGCCGAGTCAAATGCGATCGAACCGAGGACAAGGCGTGCATCAACTGTCGAGTGGCTGGACGGGAATGCGAGCCGATCATCTCGCGACGTGGAAAGTACTGACACCATCTGTCATGCTGGTTATGATTTGAGATTGCTAAGTTTGTTCAGATACAAGCGTTCCAGCACTAAAGACCATCGAAGCGCGTCTGCTCGTCGAGCTGTTCGATCTCCAGATGCGAGCCATTGAAGCCCAAGGACTCAACCTCCACTAGCTCGAGAAAGCACCGGTCCAGATGCTGGACAGATTGGGACGACCTGGGAAGAAGCCTGTGAATCCGGTCAACCGCGCAGCCCGGCTTTTATCAACAGGGCTAGTGACCCAGGCCGTGGCAACGAGGTGGTGTACTACGGCGACTCGTTCAATCTCAACTACGTCCTACGTGAGATGGTGAATCCGTTCCAGGGCGATTTTGACAGTTCCTCCTTGAAGCTTGGCATTGAGGAGTTGTATTTGAACCACTTGGGGCAGTCGACGAAGGATCAGCTCGACGCTCATGAACGTAGCGAGCGCAGCCGGTTACGAGAAATGGGCGCATTCCAGCGTCTCGACAAAGAGATAAGCGATGCTCTTATCCAGACGATCTTCGCGGTAGTATATTCTCTCTGTCCTACCTTCGATCTATCAGAGTTCGACACCAAGTACAAGGCAGGGAAGATCTCCGCGCTTGTATTGCAGGCGCTGTATTTCGTCGCCGCGGCTCACTGTGAGTTGTCATCGATCGAAAAAGCGGGGTTTTCCAGTCGCTATATGGCCACATTCACATTCTATCAAAGAGCAAAGGCATTGTACGATGCGAACTATGAATCGGACGCTATTGCCACAGTCCAGGCCTCGTACCTTCTCTCCTATTGGTGGGGTAGCCCTTTGGAACAAAAGGATATGTGGCACTGGACTGGGCTTGCTGTTGGCCTTGCACAATTTCTCGGTTTGCACCAGAGGTAGTTGAAATCGTGATTTTATCATGCTTTGCGGAGATTGATTGTCATATTTAGCAAAGCATATACGGGCTTACCGGAAAGGCAACAGAAGTTGTGGAGACGTATATGGTGGACCGTCTATGTAAGTGTGGACATGGCAGACAGGACCCAGCTGACCGGATGATAGAGTCATGATATATTTATGGCGCTTACATTGGGCAATACTCCGCATGTCAATGAGGCATATTGTAGCGTGCCCTTGTTATCTGAGGCAGATATCGAGGACGACAAGGATGACTTGCATGATACGCATTTGCTCGGGAGTCAGACTCAAGAATGTCGTCTGTACATTGTGTATCTTGTCGACTTGGCCAGGCGAAGTATATATTCCACGATCGTCTGCAAACAATGCTAACTTTTTACAGCCAGTCACTGTCTCGAGGCTCTCTTCGGTGCCAGCTCCAATGAGTCCAGACTACAAACCAGTCTTGACGGAGTCTCGTCATGGCGAACAACCCTTCCCCAAGTCCTACAGCGGAACAACTCCATAATTTCCTTGCAGAGTGGCTATTGGTCGTCTCTCATTCATCTGACCTACAAGTACAGTCAATCCGCAATCAGATGGATAGTAGCTGACAAAGAGTGGCAGTACATGCCATATCCTTCTACATAGGAACGGCTTCCATTACCCAGACCGGCTGAAGATGGGGTCACTACCTTCTGATGCTGCTGTCAATATTGTGCGGATCGTCGAGGACATGATGTTCTCTGAGGTTCTTACCGTGTCGTGCCTCCGAACGTATGCTGTTCATCTCTACAGATTCAATCCGCAAGAGGCTGATAGACAAAAGGCTACCGGCTGTATTTGCCTCCCTAAGTGTCCAAATTGCGAACATTAGTGGAAATTCACCTGATAGAATTGAAATTGCAAAGCATAGGCGCGCTTCTGCATGCTTGTCCTGAAAACATTGTAAGATCGTTGGGCTCCGCTCCTGTGGTACTATTCTATGTTCTTGAAAATACTGCACAAAATGGGCTGTGAAATTTCAGGTGGCGAGGAACACAGCACTAATTCTTTCCATGATCGCTCACTGGGGGCTTCAAGCACCATTGAGTCTCTCTCTGATGCTATATGGAGGCAGCCGCAACGCAACCAGGCTTCCGAAATTTCTAGCGGGTCATTCATGGCAGAAGTCCTGACAGAGGAGGCCAATTATGGTACAATGATGGAGTGTTTTCCGTTCTCGAGCTTCTTGACTGACGGTATTCCTGGGCAATACGACAACCCGTTTGACGAGGTGGGCAATGCTCAGTCGTGACCTTATCTCCGGTACCACATCCTCGTCACCTTTGTACCTTTGATTTTCCTCTTCAGCTGGAGAATACCATATAAAAGTGCCTCCGGCATCGGGGGACAACCAGGCACATAGATATCCACCGGGACCAACCGATCCAAGCCCCGGACAACACTATACGAGTGATGATAATACCCGCCCCCATTCGCACAACTTCCCATACTTATCACCCACTTCGGATCCGGCATCTGATCGTACAGCTGTCGCAGCGCCGGCGCCACCTTGTTGGTCACTGTTCCAGCGACGATCATGACATCGGCTTGGCGGGGCGAGGCGCGGAAGATGATGCCCTGTCGGTCTTGGTCATATCGGGGCATGGACGCGGCCATCATCTCGACGCCGCAGCAGGCGAGACCGAAGGCGAGGGGCCAGAAGGAGCCTTGGCGGGTCCAGTTGACGAGCGAGTCAGTTGTTGTTCTGGGTAGGTTAGTACGTTGCGAGCGTATGGAGGATTTAAACTGACAGTATATGGTGTAGCTTGCCGGCATTTTCTTCTTTGCTCTGGTTGAACGAAGTTGGGAGTGAGGGGTTGGTTAATGTATGCTTTTGCCAGCTTGAGGATGCTCGTAACTGAAATGGTAGCACCTTTGCTCTCGGACGGGTATCGACCGCTTGAGTATTTCCACATCGCCCAGATACATCAGGCTTGGAGCACAATGGTCGGAGAGATGTATATAACCGAGCTCGCGTCATATCATCAACAAATAGCGGTGAATTGAGTCAGTCAGTAGATTGTTCCAGGCATAAAAGTCCTAGAAATAAAAACCAGCTATAGGAGGAGGAGCGCAATATAAAATACAAGTACGATGTCGCCGATATGGCTGTTATTCAGCTAGATCCCAAGTCGGCGATATGAGTTCTTGACGGCGGAGGCATATCGCCGACTTGAAACTTCCATCATAAATCAGATGAACAACAATCCTCGAAACTAGGGTCAATGGCTGCAATAGCTATCGGGATAGTAGCCTCTTGAGGCAGGCCCATGTTTTACAAAAAGAAGCCAAGTGAAAATGCGGCATATGCGCCCTCATCAGAATTCAAGTGCCTTCGGCGTTGGCAATGCGTCAAGTCAGCAGTAGCCTTCTACAAACCGCCTGTATAGAGAGGGATGAGATGGTCCTAGTTCTTTTAGATATCGCATCCAGCAGAAACGGAAATTATTAAGTCAACAATACCCTGGGTGATTAGTGCAGATCTAGCAGCTAGGGTGTGACAAGGACGGACATATCTATAATTGTACAATTTAAGCGTCTAGTAGTCAAGAATAGTTGCTTAGGCAAATCAAATCACTACATTAACAGGTTTATCTCACATTAACTGCAGGCAGAACACCCCGTCTAAGTGCTCGTGAGAATACATCCAGGGGAATTGTACGTGGACGCGATGAAGAATTCGAATTTGGCAGTACCTGCTGACCATTGACCCTGAGAATTCGAATACAATTCCTCATGAACACTCTCAGATCATTACTTAGCCCGTACCCGAAACCTCCCAAATCCGAATTCGGCTGAGCTATAAATAATTCGTTGATATAAGTCACTGCTTACTCGAGAACATGCGACCTTTTGAATTCTGGATTGGCCAATCAGATCGCATTATTTTACCACTGTTTACAACACGCCGATTTGCTAAGATTCACAGAAGTCTCATACTGTCCTTACCGAATTCCCTGTCTATACATACTAGGTTTGATAGCTAGATTGAAAAGGATAAAAAGTTTGATAAAGTGCTAATGATTAGAGCTTTACTAGATTAAGTTTATATACATTACTAGCAGAAACTTAAAAAACAAGGTAAATAAAAGGAAATTAAGAATATTAGGTGTCGTATCCAACCACTAAGCCAAAAAGGCGTCCAGACAACCATCTCTAGCTAGTAGGGATAGTAGTAGTAGGGGCAACACAGCAGGGACACAACATTAGGCTTGCTGCATATAGAGTTGCATTCGGTCCGAGTTCAGGAGGGTTCAAAACCAGTTGGCACCGAACCGCTATGCGATTTCGAGTCCAAATTCTAGAAATTAGAACCCACCCTGACCCTATATTGCCCACGCCATCTAAAAAGCGAACTTCTGTAACAGAGATAATCTCTTGACACTAAATAGTAAATCCTAGCCACTAGGCCACCTAACTAACTGATAGTTGATGAGATAACACCGCTCCTAGCGCTGGCATAATAATCTGTAAGGCAGAATGATTGGCTGTTACTATTCTGATCTTCGTATGATAATGGGCTGCTGTGTGTACTTGGCGCCGTGGCGGGCTGAACTATGACGCACATCTCCACTGATCATCGTGCCAGGAAGGCCCCTCAGCCAGAGGAAAGCAAATAACTGTCTAGGTAGAAGCCTGCATTCAAGCCTTGGGTCTGACCTACATGTCTTAATGGATACTCTTGGTAACTTAGTAGGGTTCCACTCTGGCTGACAATATCCCAACGCAGCACACTAAGAAAGTATAAGGAACCAGAGGGGCTAATGACCAACTTGCATATTGTTGATCTTAATCGCACTAGGATCAAACTGAGGAGTTATCATGAGGTCACATACGAAACTCTTTGCCAATTTGGACTATGATCCGACTCAGGCACCCCGCACACACCGCATCACAAACTTATTAAAGTGCGCGATTCCGCTATCCAGGAAGAAAACAATTCAGTCACCTCAACGCAGACTCATTCTCATCTCTCACAATGACTATCAGTATCCAGGAAGAGTATGCCCAGCTCATGGAGCCTAATGGCGATGGTCACTATCTATATAAACCTCAACCATTTAGTACCCTCCACCCCGGCGCGATTGGGTACTTCGACAGACACGGAGATTGGAACTTGATTACCGATATTTCCGAGCCTGGACATCCTGAAGGACTGGGATTCACAGGGCTTGATCGGCCCTTGCGCCGTAAAGAACCCAAAGAAAGCATGTGGAAAACCAGGTCCTCGGGAAGTGAAGCCGAAGCAAGCTTCGGGCTCACTGGAGGACTTTCAGGTGCCCTGACTGCTGCCCCTGTGGATGTGTCAGCTAATGCAAAGAACAAATGGGGTAAGACCGGAAAAGCAGCGCTTATCACCGGCCAGGTAGTGGTAAATGAAAGTTTCAAGGGTCCTTACACAAAGCCGATTGAGGAATGGGTCAAGAAAAATGCAAAGGCTCTTGTGGAGTCCGACTATGGTGCCGATATCAAAAAGTACGGATTGTGGGCTATCCAAAAGACATGGTCAACCCAGGAGTGTGCCGTTACTATGCAAAGCGCCCATAACCGGGACACCAGCGCGGGTTTGGATCTTGGAGCCACCGGTGTTGGGAAGATTGGAGGTAGTGGATCGTCCCTTGTAAAGGGCAACATTGAAGGCTGGTCGACATACAAAGCAAAACCGGTTTGTTCTCCAAAGCCTTGAGTTATGGTTCAAGTTCTAACTTCATAAAGAGCGAGATCGCATACGTCGTCTCGTACGCCGGACCTATCTACAAGCTTCACAGCATTCAAATACTCCATAGGAATGTAAGTGTCTCGCTCGCATGCTTTTGACATGGACTAACCTTGGAAATGGATCCAGCCACTCAAGCAGGTCCAAGAGCAAGCTTTGGACAGTACCGAGTACTACAAACCCGTTTACGATGAGAACGGAAACCAGACCGGACTTGAGTGCTTCAGGCCCGTGTATGATGAGAACGGGACGAAGATCGGAGAGAAGAATGTCGACAAAGAAGCCGAGAAGAAACAACGGGAAGAAGAAAGGAACAAAATGGAAGAAGAGGACAACCGGCTTGAAGAAGACATCTTTGTTGAGAGCGCTGATACTATCGGATTGACTGATAGCGACGAAGAAGCAGAGGAGGAGGAAGCCCGTGTTGAGGAAGAAAAACGCAAGGAATTCATGAAAAAGGTTGCAGTGATAAATCAGATACCAGATGAAGAGCAGAAGAGGGCTGAGCTGGTCAAGTTGATGGCAGAGAGAATGACAGCGACGACGACGACGACGACGACGACTGTGGACTATGGTCCATGAGTCCATGACTATGAAGGTTGAATGAGGGACTCAGCAGTGACAGTTTACAGCTAAGGGCAGGCTAATTCTACGACGGACTATAGCTACAATGTGGACTAGTTTTTTTCTCCAATGAGTACATCTGACCACTCCCATCCCCCTATGGTTGCACGCACTGCACTGATATCAGATACTCAAGTAAAAAAGAAAAAAAAAAAAAAACGATGAGTCCTTGCATATAACCCTCTGTTGCAGCAGCACTGCCAGATAGAATAACAACTAATCGATCCCTGCAGGATTCTATGCGCACCAGCTCTGTATGATACTCACCCTACACCCACCACTGTGCTAATGTTGTGGGGATTAAAGCGCAGTTATAGTCGAAAGATCCATCTAGAACTCCAGCAAAACTTGGGCCTCAGAAGCTTCCAACAAAAGGCGTCCACCATCAACAAAACCCCTGACGGAACGCAGTGGAATATCTGGCGCAGGGGCCAGCGGTCCTGGTTGGCTTAATGATGGTCCGAGACTGATTTTGGTCCCCGGTTGCTGGAGAATGAAACAGTGACGCAAGTTCGGGGGTGCTGAATCCGGAGGACACGATGCTTTCAGCACTGCCTCTGCCATCTGAATGAGATGGCTTTCCTTTGTTTCGACAAGTGGGTAGCTCAGAATCCGCTCGCTCAGAAGAGTGTTGCCGTCGGACTGTAGCGCGACAGCTACTTTCGCAAAGGGCTGAATGGCGATCGCGTAATCATTGCATGGGCTGAGAATCACATCTGTACCCAATCTGACTACATTGACGAGGCTGCTGTCAGACCCAGAAAAGGCAAAGGAAAACGTCTGCATGATAATAAAGTCCCGCACTGATTTGGCATGGGCTTCCCAGGGCTGTACAGCATCGCCCAGCCGGACGCGTGCTGGCACTGATTGGATCGAAAACTGGTTGATAGTCCGATGCACCAGTATGTTACGATCAAAGAAACGGGCTGGCCCGCCGTCGAACTGGAAGAGGAGCTGGCCATTTTCACCATTAAGAATCGAAATCCTCCCCGTTCCCACCCAATTCTCATTATCACTTAGCATCACAAGCTCATGCTGTTTACCTATGCGTAAAAGTCTTCTGCAGGTTCTGTTATGGGCCCAGTTTCTTGGCCCGACGGCGGATGACTCGTAAATAACAGTAGGTTTGGAGGCTCGGAAGTCGATGCCAACAAGATCAAAAGTGTCACGGTTTGAGCCTCGTCTCGCGCAATGCAGTACAGACCTCCCTATTAAGAGCGGGGTGAGCCCGCCTGGAACACCATACTTTGGGTCATGGTGCCTGTGATCTTGCCGCCAAACTGTTCTGCCCTCAATGGGCGAATAGACAGCACTTCTTAATCGACATTGTGAGAATTAGCTGACCTGCTCTGTAGCAGACAGATTTACATACATACCTGGCACGGTCCTTCCCTTTCTCCCTGAGCCGCAGTAGTAAAATGCCATCCTGATTCATCTCGAGGGACATCAAGTCCACATGAACCCTCCAGACCTTCTTGAGGGGAACTGTTTTAGTATCCACGACTGCGCCACCTGGAGCAGCAAGTTTATGCCAAGACACAGTTGGTTCATCTTGTTTCGCTTCACCAGCTACAAAGTTTTCCACCACTGTCATAGTAAAGTAACTCTGGAAGTTGAATTCTTGCTTTGACGATGGTTTGCCTGACTGAATGCGATGTTGTTGACGGGCTGCGAGTGAGGAGAGGCGCAAAAAGAAATTAGTATGCTTTGACTTTAAGTTGATATGGATGCATCAGAAGGTATGTATAATAGAGTCAATAAATACCCACCGTGGACTTTGAACGCCTCCCAGATTGCGATGTTTGACTCTCGCGGGAGATCCCAGATAATATGCGGAAAATGGACACGAAATCCAAATGCTGCTACCCACCAGTGTATGGTGTCTCTCCAACCTCTGCAGACACACTCGCACCCAGTAAGATCTGGAAGTGAGAGATAGTGTAAGATGAGATTCACAACATCTCTATTCATACGGGCGAAAGGATCCAGACTGGGACTGCTTTGGGTGCGAGTACTGGGACAGCCATCATCGACGGCTATTCGCTTTGACCTGCCAATTCTTCTAAGCTGTCCTGCATCAACTGTGGACTTCCTTTTTAGTGGCATGGTAGGAGAATCTTGGGGAGTGTATCTCAAGTTCAAAAGAGTACTATATAGTGTCGAGTGCTCTTTGCAGGTCTTGGGCCCTTGTGTGTGATCCCAACTTCTGTAAGGTGCTGTTGTTGGCTTCTTCTCAGTCGCTCCCCGCAAAGTAAAAGCCCCTGAATTGCCAACCACATGATCTACATGGTTAATTTGAGGATATGCAGAATCAGGTTCGATTCTTGGCACTCGTGTTCGATTCTTGGCGACACATCTCTTGCATGAAGGTCATTATTTTAAGACATAATAAGGTTTTTCTCCGTCTCTTCTGTCCGTTCTCTTGGTTTTTCTACCTATTTGTTTGACTCCTCTAACTGAGCGATCTTCACGTGTAAATAAATCCCATCGGGGTCATCCTTGGGAGCTTGAAATTGGCCTATTTGACCGGAATGGCAGTTGAAAATTGCTCCCATAAAGCCTTGATTGAAGGAGTGAAGAAGTATTCACCACCTTTCTGATCAACCCACGGACTGATACCAAGATTAAGCTTAACCGTCTTGTCTGGATTGCTTCCATCATATAAACTGATGTGTCCCTCGGGATGATCGGATCGGAGTCGCTGGTTGACAAAGGGGTCCATACCCGGCCCGTCGGGGAAAGTCTTGGTCTTGTACTCAGGGAAGGACGAGTTACTCGCCCAGCCTATATTTATTAGCATCATAGGCAGATGCCGAATAACTGAACATAAATGGTAAACTTACGTGTCATGAGGAAGTTGAACCCGTCCCGAATAAGACTCTGGTAGCACGTAAAGTAGATCCCACGTTGTTCAATTGTCGTCTTCTCCCTCTTTTCCTGCTCGGTGAGCTCAGGACCAAAGGTGATACCACGACGGAGGATGACACTAGCATCCTCTTCTTGTCCTTCGGCCTCAGACTCATCACTTTCTGCCTCTGGCAGTTCGGTGGTGTCGCCATCCTCTTCTGTCCCAGCGTCACGTTTCTTATCGGCTCGAGGACGCATCTTGCGGATGTGAGCGGCAAACGGACAGCCTTTGATGCTCTTCTTGGGCCTGAAATCGAACTTGTTATCGAATGCCAAGTCTGGGTTGTCCTCATCGAGGGCCTTGGCAACAGGGGCTCCTGGATTGTTGATTAGTCCTTGCCTAGTCGATGGATCATAATATGATATGAGGACGGTAGCCCTACCGCTCTTCCATCGTCCCATCAGATGAGCACCCAGCTTCTCAGGACCATTGGGCCCCTTGTAGTTGGTCCCTGGGATTTTCGGTGCCCACTCCTCGAGAAACTTTTCAAATTCGGGGACCTTTTGGTCGAGCTGACGAAAGACGAGGAAACTTGCCCTCCTTAGCCGCAGTCTAGGTATGGCATTGTATGCAAGAATAGGGCTAATCTACCAAGGGGAACCAATCCAAAAAGATGAGTTGAATCAATTGATTGATTGAAAAGATTAAAAGAGCGGGTGCTGCGAGGACACGTTAAGGTGTCCCTGCTTACATGAGTAGGGAAAGAGGGTTGAAAGTCCCGATTCTCAGAGTGCCAAGAATCCCCTAGTATAAGCAAAGAAGTCACGAGACAAATGAAATATAACCCATGTCTGCTCCGTGTTTCGACAAATGCATACCACCCACCCCCATGGGATAGGTTAAATAGCGGTGTATATAAATCAGGCCTCCCCCAAAATTACATCTGCCGCCTTCTCGCTGATCATGTAAGTCGGCAAGGCAAGGTAATATCCCGGAATCCTGGGGAAGACGCTGGCATCGACAACCCGAAGTCCATCAACTCCGCGCACACGGAAGTCGCCATCCAACACCGCCATCGGATCATCATCTGCGCCAATCGGAGCCGTACAGCAGGCATGGTGACCCCAAGCCTCACGCTTGATGAAATCCTTAATCTCCGCCTCAGTGGTGACGTTGGGACCGGGCCAGGTCTCCTCGAATCCACCTTGCAGGGGAACAAGGTTTTTAAAGATGGACCGGGAGAACTCCATCGCCTCATAGACAGCCTGGAGATCCTTCTGGTCTGCATCATTAGCAGTGACACCATCATCAAAGGAGTGGAAGTTGATGATTGGGGTGTCGCGGGGATCAGTGGAGCGGAGCTGGACGGTCCCTGCATTATTGCGCGAGCGGGACTTGAGTGTGACCCAGGACCAGTGCCGCGCATCGTTCCAGGAGCTACTTGAGTAACCAGAGAAGTAGCCCTGGAAGTTAGCAGGAGCACCAGAGATAAGCAGATCAGGTTCATTATTTTCAGCCACAGAGGACTGCCTGATAATAGCAACGGGGATGTTATTAGACATATAGGCGCCCTTATCAAGGATTTCATATTTCCACTTCTCATAGCACGGGTCAGGGAGGGCTCCAAGAAAGGTACACTGGGATATAAGGGAGAAGTCTGTGGGGAACTTGCCAATGACGCTGGTTTCATAGCGGTCCTGCAGGTTTGTTCCGACACCAGGGAGGTCAACGAGTGTAGAGATATTCCATTTATCTAGTTCAGCTTTGGAACCGATGCCGCTGAGCTTGAGTAGTTGTGGGGTGTTGAAGGAGCCTCCAGAGAGGATGACTTCCTTGGCTGCGTACACGCTTCCAGGCACGCCGGGGGATGCACTGTCCGACCGCGGGTCCGCACGATATAGACTCTTGCCCTTCATGTAGTCAACGCCAATGGCGCGGGGACGGGGGCCGGAGCTGTCTAAGACTACATTGGTGACAAGAGTGGTGAGCTGGATATCGAGGTGGTACCTGCGGTTGCCATCATTATCGGTCTCAGCCACAGTCTCAAGGAGGAAGTCGCGCGATCCGGAACGTTTGTAGTCGGGCACTTTCACCGCGATAGGGAGCTGGTAGAGATCCTCGGTCCTGTTACGCGTGCCGCTGTTGGCGTCGCGTATGAGGATTTCCGCCAGACCAGTCACGGTGTTAATCACCTTGCCCGCCAGGTTCTTGCCAGCGGCAGTACCAGCAGCGATGACGAGTGAGAGCAGCTTCATGTCGTCTAGGATGAGGTTTAGCGGGGTGAGGGAGGTCTGGAGCCAACCACTATAGCCGTGGCTGACGACGTCGCCCGGGGTGTAGCGGTTGACCTCGAGACGGCGGAAGTAGTCGCGCATCTTATCGGCCGCCCACGAGTCGTTTCCGGTGAGAGCAGCGAGGTTGTCCCAGTCGCTTTCGTACGGATAGACCGTGCTGTCGTAATCAGTTTTCTTGTTTCTCTTTTCATCATGATAGTAAAAGGATAGGCAAGGAGGGAGCGTACACCATAGCATTGTGAGCGGTACATCCACCCAATGTACCTGCACGCGGGTACAGAATACCCAGTGGCTCAGAGCCTGTGGGAGGATTAGGACCCCTATGCAGGTTCCCGGCCGGAGTACGGTAAGTCATTTTGGAGTCCTCCTCTTGGCGGGTGAGGTTGGTGTAGTGGTTGATGTAGAAGTTCCAGCTCTGGGGACTATACTCGGTCGATTGTAACTGAAGGGCTGGAACCATCTGCTGCAGAGAGTTACCCTGATCATCACCGGCGTCCAGGAGAAGGACCTTGTATCCTCCCCGAGCCAGGCGAGCAGCCAGGGGACCACCACCCGCCCCGGAGCCGACAACGATATAATCATACTCAGTTGTGGCATTCACGGAGCGGGATTGGGGGTGCTGATCGCGAGGAGAAGTGCGCGGACTGCCTCCATTAGTCTTATATCATCCCACAAGAGAGTTGTCATAAGGGGTATACAAAGGGAGGAAGGGACCAGCAGCGGAGAGACTTACGATCCCAGCACCGCAGAGAGGAGGGAGAAGAACCCCAAGCCCTTGGCGACCAACATGGTGGAAAACGGGTGACTTGCGCTTGTAGGGAAGCGAAACGATGAAAACGAGAACAAAACAACATAATACCATGAAAGAAATGACGAAGAGAAGTATTATTATATAGAAGATAATAGATCTCAGGAATCCGGCAAGCCTGAAGTTAGCTAAGTTGGACACTTGACTCATACCCCTATTTGACGCAAGAGTCTCCAAGGCGACAGTGAGACAATCATCATTATCCCAAGATGGAGAATGCAGCATCTACCAACCAAACGTCGATAGGTCCATGAATAGCTATGTTAGACAGATAGAGAGCCCTCTGGTGCTGATCTCGTGGATCAACATACATCTAACTGCACGGCTCATAAAAAAGCAATTCGGGAGTGCATCCCTAGGGAAGGATGTTATGGGATCTCCGAGCGACCGTTATGTATTCGCACTGTATGTATCACAATTGTGCTACTGTGAGCGGCATGAATACGTGGTTGTGCATGCTAAACTAGAGAATTTTCTTCATGATTTCCACTTAAATTGACTACTTTCTAAATAGCCTGTGACCGGATTCTACCTGGGGCCTATTATAGCATGTTTGGTTGTTCTGAGGGCATATCACCGAAATAAAAAATATAAAGAAGGTGTCGGGTTTTATATTCGGCCTGCATTCAAATGGCAGACAGAGGGGGACTGTGCACACAAGCCAATGTGTCACAAAGAGAGGATGTGAAGAGAGAATCGAATAGAGAGCGAAGCAATTTGATATGCGATCTACCAATATCAATCTTGAGCAAATTTGGACATGGTGCATACAATATTCAATCTCTATGGTAGAAAGGCAATTCAAACTTGTTGTTTCTAACTGGCAAAACATGAGGCTTTTATAACATGATGGGCAAATTCAATGAGCGAGAGGGAAAGTAGCAGTGTTGGGTTCCTCGTCCGAGACAGGATATTCAATGCGATCGTTGAGGGTCAACATAAAAAAGCGAAGGATCTTGGCGTACAGATCTATTGTGTAGATCAATGCATACCAGTTGCATAAGATCAATTGCATCCTTGCATACGCATGCATTAGGGCACACACACATATACATGCTGAAAGAAGAGACGGCGGATAGAAAAAAGCAGAGAAAGGTTGAAAAGGAAAGAAAGAAAGGAAACCAATGGGTGAGGATTCCAAGACTAGAGAAATATAGTATCAAGGTTCAGCAATGGACTCACTATATAAGGAATGGCCTCAAAAGGTATAATTCTGTCACGTCGATATGTAGTACAACAGGGAACTATTGAAGTATAACCAGCGTGCCTGCGATAATATTTTAGCAACTGCGAAAACTTAGAGCAAGCTATCTCGAAGCCTATTTATCTATATTTTTATTTTCAAAGAGGTCTAAACATTAGCTTCAGGTATTGTTCAAGTCAAAGGCTGGGTTCTGTGCACGGAAGTCTGGTCCGTACATTAGTTAATGGACAGCATTAAAATCACCTCTATCTAGCCCTGAATTTATGCAAGTGGCGAACTTCACCTGACCGCTTAAGCTTAAAGTCTAGTTATCATCAATATTTTGTCTCAATATTTCATGGTTGACCGTCTTCACATCAATTGCGCAGAGCGTTTAAATTCGACTGGGACAGTTCATCATCCAGTTGTTCTACTGGACTGCTATGCAGCCTCGAATCTTGTTACGATCTTTTCTTCCATGATGCTATTCCCAACTGACAGCATTCCTCGGGGGATTCGACACCTCACCGCAGGGCAATCGGCGGTGAGGCGAGATTGGCCACGAATATCGAGGCCTTCCCTTTGTTACACCACCTGCATGTCCCCCTCTCAGCTGAACCCCCTCTTGCATTCAGCTGAATTCTTCTCAAGCATGCCCCTCGTTTTGATGTCAAGGCGGGCTACTCGGGACTCGGAGGATTTCCGAGTAGGCCATGTAGAGGATCATATTAAATAGTGTCTCATTTTGGTCCTTGAGGGTCCCTCAAGAAACAGTCTTGCAACAATCAGACTTGTTACCTTCTTCCTTACCTGACCGACAGGCCTTCTACCCTGCAAGTAGATTTTATCTTTACAAGTAATTTTTTGTCGCCTCTCATCTTACCAATTGGGCTGCTGACGTTCAAGGTATTCCTAATCATCTATTCCTATCAAGTAACGTACGTGCTTGAAAGCAATAGAGAAACTTCTAATCTGCTCTATTGGGGGGCTGTTAACTATCTATTTATAGGTATATATACAATGGATCTTTGCCTTATCAGGTTCTTCGCATTATAGAATATAGTTAGGCTAATAATAATAACTACTATCCATCTGCTTGGGGTTGTGATGGTATATAAGTATATAACGAGTAATTTTTCCCCTCTTATTAACTACATATCCTGCCATATTATCACTAGGAATAATATACCATCGATGTCACAAAAGCCAGTTAAATCTACTATCTAGCGAGCGTGCATGCATACGCCCGGAATGGTGTGGCTCTTGACGGGCTTCTATATTGGTCCCTGGGTCGGGAGAACCGAAATTCCAGTGTTTAATGGGCAGATACTAGGATTGGCATCTACAGTCACACAGTCCCTTTTTAAGCGCCCGCATATGACCACGTACTTTGTGCTTATCAGATATTATCAGATGCAGGTAATAAACTAAGTAATAATAATCGTGTCAGATCAAATGCTGTGCACTCCCGGATCGCAGGCAGATTGAGTTACTAATACCTCATTATGCCAGTTACCTGTCCATTCAATCCGTTAGAGCGGCGACTGGACTACCCCACTGCGTTCAAGATGAATAACCCCCGTCCAGACCCTTTGCCACAGGGATGTGTTTCAATACTGCTCTATTCATTTTAGTACTTCCTCCTGTGAATGTTTCTAGCAGAATAATGAAAGTACCCGCGGGCACAGTGTTAATGACGTCACCATTGATCGAGGTTGCAGCGCAAGGTGACAGAGAGTAATGGATTGTACTGATCAACCAGACCAGGTGACCGTACAGCAGACAGGGGCCACGCACTTGTTATATTAGCCGAGAAAGAGTACAGTACCTTATGTGAGCTTATATTGCCCAGTCCGCGCGCGAACGGACATCAATCGGAGCTCACCACACACAGATATTCCGCTGATCCCAGCATAAAGGAGAATCGACGAAGAAGGGAAAGAAAAGATCCAAGATGACGGAGTCCCCATTTCATGATCTTTCGGCTCCAGAGCTAGGTTTGTCTTCTCCTCGTGGGTGAGCCCAAGCTAACTGACCTGATGCACAGAGAGTCTAAACACCCTGCAGGCGCTGTTTAGCCATGATCAAAGTCCCCTGAAAGCTGATTTGATGTGCGGTGTCTACCGCACTGACGAGGGAACCCCTTCGTTCTACCGGCAGTGAAAGAGGTGCGATGAAGCGCTCGATCTGGAGAGCCACTACTGACAACCGTTCGCATTCTAGGCTAGGGAACTTCTGTGTAACGATCCACTCTGGGATCACGAGTACCCGCCATCCCATCTCGGCACCCAACGCTTTAGAGATTTGACTTCCAGGCTGATGTTTGGGGAAGAATCCAGTTACGTCGATGATAAGTGGTAAGCGAGCAGATCCTCCAGGTGGACGGAGTGTTGACCAAGGTCGGCATGACACCTAGCATTGTCACTGTTCAGACACTCGGTGGCAGTGGAGCGTGCCACATGGGTGCTGTGTTTCTGGATCGGCATTACAGCCCTTGGAAAGAGGGCGCTCCAAAGAGAGTATACATCCCCAAAGAAACTTGGAGTATGGTAGTCAGTCGTTCATTTAGGCCAATGGTAATTCTAATTGTACCAGCGAACCATCCCAATGTCTTCCGCTACTTGAATATTGCTGTCAGCAATCTCCCTTACTACAGTCCCAGATCTGGAGCGGTTGCTTTCAGTGAACTGAAAGACGCGCTAAACCAGATACCAAACCAGTCCGTTGTCGTCGCGGCAAATAATCCGACTGGGTGTGATCTTTCTCGGGAACATTGGAATTCCCTAGTCGACGACTTCCGCCGAAAAGGGCACTTCGCGTTCTTCGACGCAGCCTATCTAGGCTTTGCCTCTGGGGACTACAACAGGGACAGCGCCCCGCGTTGGCTGTTTGTTGAAAATGGGATTCCCATGCTATGCGCGACGTCTTACGGCAAGACCTTTGGAATCTACGGCGAACGAATAGGCACACTGTCCATTCCGCTGCCCACCGCCGATCTGGCAAAGAAGACGGAGAAACATATGAAGATTTTGGCTCGAGCGAAAACAGGGGCGATGCCAGTGTTCGGATCAAAGCTCGTCGAGTCGATTCTGGGCTGTGAGAATCTTGCAAAAGAATGGAAGAGAAACCTGCAAACCATGGCTGCAGAGTTGAAAAGGCGACGTCTTCACCTTCGAACTTTGCTGGAGAAACTCGACACTCCGGGAGATTGGTCCTTTCTCACGACCCAAGCTGGAATGTTCTCGTGCGTCCTCTGATTCCACCCTCGTTGTCTGATATGCGGCCAACTTAATTACGAAGCTAACCTGGCATTTCACTAAATACACTGGCCTAAGCTCGGGGCAGATCGACATGCTCCAAGAGACGTTTCATGTTTATTTGCAAGATACTGGCAGACTCTCCATAGCGTAGGTGACAGGGGCAACTTACGTCTCTTGCATGCGGTTCCCGTGCTAATGAGTATAGGGGCTTGAACAAATCCAATATCAGCCATGTGGCTCGAAGCATCGATGCCGTTGTTCGTCACAATCAGTTCTCTGAGTCCACTGATATCACAGTGATTCAGCAACCGAGCAGGAATAGTAGAATTCAGAAAGCAGCTCTTCTATAACGCCATTGTGGCAGTATCTGCTGCACCTTGTCCGTTGTGCCTGTTCAATAGTATATAGATCACCAGGGGGGCACTAGATAGAGAAGAATCAGATGTTCATTGATTTATCACCTCTGTACAAATTATTGGTGATAACCGAACCCGGTACAGTACTGTGATTCCTGACAACCTTTTTATTGCTAGCTCATAAGCATTTCTGTGAAGATGAGAAACTTATATTTATACTCCGGAGGAGGTTGTAGGCTACCAGACCATGAACATTGGGATTCCTATTATTTGTATGAAGCTAGTCATAACCTTCATAATGGAGCTGCTACTGACTCCTCCTCTCCTACTACTGACTAAAGAGCAGAGAACAATGACGCCTGAGTCGGCCTGACTCAACCAATGTCAACGGCTGTCAGAATAAGCTAGTCCTAAATTAGGACATGATTTAGAATACAGAGTAGCTGGAGGCGGATAGTGCCTTATATAAATAACCTAAATAGTTTAGTGCTGATTCTGCTTGGGGGTGTCATCATTCGTGGGGCTGATGCATTTTCAGCCGCAAAAACGACTCCAGAATGGGAACCCCGAGTCTAACTTCGGTAGTTACATCCAAGGGTTTCTCAACAGACATGGATGACGAGCTCTGAGAATACCCTGGTTAATAAGCCCCAATTCCCCCTTTGTGCCGATATCTCAATTCGAATCTAGTGGCGTCGAGGACTGGCAATACGACGCTCCTGGAACTGCAGGCGACAGGATTCAGACTCCGGAAAACACACGAGAAATCTAGGAACGGTTGCCTCCGGTGTAAACAACAGCGGAAAAAGGTAGGCCGTTTCTCCATCTCGATGACACTTCACGCAGTGTTCTGATCATATCGCCCAGTGCGATGAGTTGAGACCGAGCTGCTCCGGATGTACCAAGCGCATGTATATATGTCAGTACCAGAACGCTTCCAGTGATGGCAACTTGTCAAAGGAGCAGGGATCGACTCAACTCCCCGTTTCCAGCTTGCCTTTCTCCCCCACAATTCCCAGTACTGCAGCCCCAAACTCTGTGTCGCCCTTAGCACTTTCGAGCGATCAGTCCTCGGTTCCCAGTCCGTTGTCTGGTGGACAACCTGCTTCCTTTTCAAGTCTGAGTAGGGATGAAGAGAGACCACCCTTCGATAGGCACACGCCGGGTACTCTTGATACAATAGAACTCGGTCTCTTGAGCCACTACCTCACGCACACCAGCCGAACTATCCCTGTCGACGATCTCGATCTCTACGCTCTTTCGGTAGGGGTGCCAAATCTCGCTTTCAGTTCCGATGTGGTCATGTCATCCTTGTTAGCCCTCGCAGCAGCATGCAAGTCGCACGATATAGCTAAGCGAGCCCACGCGCTTCTGGACCCCCAGAGCCTAACGGATATTCGAAACCTACTTGCGCTTGCGGAGCGCCATCACCAGGCTTCCCTACGGCACATACAAGCGACCATGCAGAACTCGGATTCGTACGATCACGTTCTTGCAAATGCTGCATTGATGGTCTTGTACGCCTCTGCTAGCCACTCCGTCCGCGTGAATCTTGCGACCGCTGCAAAAAAGTGTAGGCAGCGGCTACCAAATGAGGTGCTTCCGCAACACTCACAATGGATCTCGTTCACACGCGCTGCCCATACAGCGTCAACTGCAATACTCAACGGTCTTGTGGCCGCCGCAGATGCAATTTGCACCACCACCTCCAGCCCGATTCTAGATGCAAGATCAAAATTACCGAATCCGGTTCTTTGTAGCACAGACGGCTTATCACTGGAGGATGGTCCATCCGAGAACACGAAGCGCGTATTTCTGCCTCTAGTCGCATCTACATTCAATCGAGCTCTTGAGAGTTTATGCAGGAGAGCTGAATTGACAACTGCTCTTTTGAAAAGGTCAGAGCTTTTTGCACCCGACTACGTACAGCTACAGGCATGCTTGGAAACTGTGTCTGTACTTGAGAGATGTGCATGCGCAGCTCTATCCACACGTGAACGTAGCAAAAGCGAAGAGCCACCAAGATATCAGCCCATATCGTGTGGTGAATTATCTAGAGTCTCACCATGGGTGGCAAAATACATGATCAGTGTCACTTCGATGGAGTCGCCGCAAATACTCCGAAGGATTGTCATGTCTTTTCTGAACAAAGCACCGGCTGAGTATCTTAACCTCGTCCAGTCAGTACTTGATTCACCCTCCGTGAAGGCGAGGGCTGCGAATTGGATGACACGAGACTCACCTGGGACGGACGTACCGCTGCTTGACGCGACGCATTTACTAGCAATGGACATCTTTGCCCATTGGCTGGTCCTTGTTATGTTATTGGATGGCGTCTGGTGGGTTAGTGATATTGGAGAGTGGGAGCTTGGCCAGGTTGTATCATTAATGAAGACTCAGGATCTGCAGAGCCAGTCAGCAGATACTGGACAAACGTGGTGGCCCGAGACCATGTACTTAGTTAAGCGGGAGCTCACTGCCGGTTCCTAGCACTGATTGATCTTGAAATAATCATTCTATGCCTGACCATTAACCCATCTCATTACTGCTCATATGCAGCATGTTTGAAATTTCCATTATCAACAAAGCCAACATGGACATGGGGTTTACAGTTCTGGATGAGGGTTGTGGGCTTGTGGCATGGCGTATTGTAAGTATATTATATGACTCTACGCCAACAGCCCCATATTTGGAGCATCGTAGTAGGAGAGAGTGTGTGATACAGAACTGGCCTCAGTATACTTTACCTATCCCAGGGAATGACATTTCGCAGCAATGAGTGTCTAGAAGGAATTACGCTGTTGCAAACCATGCTAGTGCTAGTGCATATAACTACAAGCCATGGCCCATGACACGCTCCATGTGAGGGCTGAGCCATGGCGTATTACTAATACGCCCAAGTCGAGTCTAATTGAGCCCTGATACGGCAACAGTATGAGACCAGCTAATATCCGCGTGCTGACACTCATTTCTGGCGATGGCCGTCCAATTGAGGCTAAGGATGGGGCTGAGCTGTGCGTATAGGAATTAATTGCTTGGGACTCCGATGCGCATACGCAGTAAATGGGCTTGGCTGAAGGATACATTTCGAATACGACCTGGTAATTTAGTTCGGATATGATGTGCTGGAACGAAAGGTGCCATATGTCGATATATATATAAGGGCCCTCATTGCCTCCTAAACAATAAACCATCATCACCTGTTACTCAAACCACCAAGACATCCTCTCAATATTCAACTCCAACAGCCATCATGTTTCCTGACTTTCCCCTACGCTCCGTCATCGCGGTGATGCTCGCCCTTGTCCCTTTGGCGAGGACAGCACCTCAACCGATCATGAATAGCTCGACCTCGCAACTTAGCTTGACAGCTCAGCTGCGACTTGCAGACACGTAAATACCTCAACATGGACTCAATGGTACCGAAAGAATAATCCGATTGTTTAGTGCCATCGAACGTTACAAACTCCTCCCAAAGGGTGAAGACTTTGTCTTCAATTTCGCCGGAGCCTCGCTTCCGATTGCCACCAGCCAGAATTTTCCCGCCCTTGTCGGCACTGGTATATCCTTCAGTATCGCGCAATTGCCAGGTATTCTTGACCAGAATGTCTCTACTTCCTGGGCTACGCTAATCCATCTCAATAGCATGCAGCATGAGCTTCCTGCACCTCCATCCTCGTGCAACTGAGCTCTTCGCTATTACGTCGGGGCGTGGTGTCTGAAATGGTACCTGAGACGGGCGTCCTTGACTTTGAAGGCCACCAACGAGTCATCCGTGCAGAGCTCGGCCCTGGCATAGTGACGATCTTTCCGGCTGGGTCGTTTCACACGCAAGTGAACCCAGACTGTGAGCCAGCCAATTTCACCGCAGCCTTTACCTCGGATGAGTTTGCCGTGGGTCTTGTCGCTGCACAGACATTTTCACTGAGTGATGATGTAATTGCTGCCACATTTGGGCAGACTATCGCTGGTGAGGACATTGAGAAGGTCCGGCAAGCTATTCCTGTGACCATGGCCATCAAGGTTGAGGAATGTTTGACCAAGTGTGGTAAGCAGAAGCGCCAGGCTTGACCAGTTCGGTGCTGTATATCCTGAGGCGACATTCAGTGCTGGATACCCCATAGCCAGCAGTTGCTTCCCACTTTGGACCAGGCTACCAGACAGTTTTGATTTTTGTCTTAGTTTATGTTGATGTAATTTACCGCTTACCCGGTTGCGTTGATTTCTGCTTTCCGTTAGATGGATTCTTCTCTCCTGGGTGATCAAACCCCTGGTATCGTATGATCTGAATGCTTTTATGTTACTACATCCCATAGTATATAGATCACCTAGGGGAGGCACAAGATAGAAAGAACAAGACCTTCATGAATTCATCATTTCCATACAACTTACTAGTGATTTTGGGGCCGACTGGCACAAAATCTTCCTCCGCATCCCACAGCTCCTGGAGAGTCAAGCCTCTGCAGAAGAATACCACGAGCACCCGCAGGAGCCGCTGCGAGAAGACACCGAGTCTACAGTGAGGATGAGTATGACTACACCGTACCACTGGGCTCTTGCAGTTGGGAGGATTCATATCGTGGATAGGAAGATGCTGGCCACCGAAGGCTGGAAGGCTGGCAAGGTTCGTATTGTCTTCTACGATGAGTTCGGCCGGGTGGTGCGTTCGTACCGTGCGGAGGTGGATGAGGCTGCGGACATAACAGGTGTATATGACTACATCCTAAATGAGCATCCATGCTGGGTCCATGGAAAGATAGGCAAGGACTACATGGTAGGAGCACCCTTGGGGCCACCATATCAGCAGGACGACTGTGATGAAACTGACAGTGAAGGGAGTACAGATGATAATGAATAAGGAGATCCTACATAGTGTAGGCTACACTGTGGGATTTCCAATTAAGGAACTCTTGCTAGTCATAGTAATGAACAATATTCTCCCAATCAAGGGTCTTGTACTCGCCCGGGACCTCCGGCAAGGGAGGCAAAACGAGCGCCACAATCTGTCTTTCCCTCCCCAAAGCCCAAGCAGGCAAGAGAAGCAGCTACTTCAAGGTTAGCAACGACGAAATCACTTTGGCTCTCGGCAGCTGCGATAAGTTCCCATTCGCGTCCTCCGAAGAGGGGGAAAATTTCTACTCCACGCAGCAGCAAGCTCCTAAGCGGCGTTTGTGACGTGCGCCCAGTCTAGCGGCAGACCATCCAGGGATACCCATATCGACGTATTGGTGGATACCATGAGCTAATAGGCGCACTATTCTCTATATATATAATATAAAAAATATATCCTTATCTACCGTCTAGGCCCAGATCAAGGTTAGTTAAGTTTATTAGTTCTACGAGCCCATCGGTCGCGACTCGTATGCATTCGATGGGTTATTCATATCCATCCAGATTGGGCAGGTTAATCCATTTAGATATAGGTTGGATCAGGGCCTACCCAGATCCAATCCAAAGTGCAGGTTGGGTTGGATATGGATTTGCGGATTCGGTCAGCCAGTCTACCTGTATCCTTGCAGGAAGCCAGCATGCGGGGTAATATGCGACTTGAGCAACTCCTCCAACATCTTCAACTGTCCAACTCTTCCACTCAGCCCGTTGCAACATTCAAGATGCACGTCTGGCTCGATCGCCCCCTTCGTGATGGAAAAGACGCGGATGAGTGGAAACCCACTGAATCTGAAGCCGCCGCCAACATCGACAAGTGGTATCAAGCAGGACGATTGCTCTTTCCCCGCGATTCCCTCCAGGATGTGCGCGACCAACTGCGGAAGCCCCTCAAAAAGGGCGACTCCATTTACGTGAAAGCGTTTGATGGGTCGATCTACGAATGGCTCGTGAAAATCGGCGACATCAAAACGCATTTCGAGCCCGACGGTGACACGGGAGAGGAAAAGTCGGTGGAATGGGTGCTGTGAGAATAGAGAGCTCTTTTCCATCCCTTTTTTAATGACACGAGCAAGAAAAAGTCTTGGCTAATTCAACGATATGGCTCAAGGACAACCCCGCAGATTTCTTATCGCTCGTTTGAAGATCTCAAAAGGCTGCTAGAATACAGTCTGTCGCGGGCGTATTGCAGCGTGGGAATAGCACACCGCATGATTCGCGTCGGCCAAGAGCCTGAGCCTGAACCCCTGGGGAACCTCAATTCAGGACTGGAATTCCTGGACACTATCTTACGGGACTGGGAAGGGAGCGAAGCATGGAGCGGCATCAAATCCACCCTCTCATCATTGAATCTTAATACCAAGATCGCCAAAGTGATAGGTATGGCATGCGGGACTTTTACCCCGACATTGGAGTGCCCAGGATCAAGAAGATCGGCCGTTCAACATGCACTCCTCTTGACTCTGACGAGCTTTCTGCAGGAAAGCAACTTGGGCACCGGTGAGGTCGCGTGCTACGTCCAGGACCCAGGATATTCCAAGACGGATAGGCTGGTTCTTGAGAAGTCGGATATCAAGGCGCTGGAGGATCCCGAAGGCTTCCTCGAAATGGACGATGCCTCCCTCGTGTTTTCCTGCGGCCCCAACATTTGTGTCAAGGAGATTGTTGCGGACATTGCCCGTCCGTCTATTCTCATCTGGTGTACTGTCAAAGAGGAAGATCCGGAATCCCCCCTGTACGTTTTCTTTGCGCCAGTTGTGACATTGGTTGATTAATGTCGGGTAACAGCACTGATCCAGACTCTCCGCGGGTCAGAGAGATGATACGAACGTGTTATGATCAGTTCCCATTCCCCGAGGATCACGGCGATAACTTTACGTTCATGACGATATATGTCAAGAAACAGTGCCGAGTTTCCCAGTAGGAGTCAGTTCGGAAGCTCACTGGTTATTCTACTAAAGCTCAAAGCTTGTCACGGTGAAGTGCTCCTAACTGCCAAGTTGCCAGATTCTTAGCTCTGTTAGGGGTTGGATTGACCTTGGACACTGGATTTCTAATCGGGACGAATATCAGTGAATGGACCACTGTTTCAGAAGAGACTCGGGAATTGAACAGTATATTTTTCAGAGAATTGGTTTAGCATCTAAGCGAGGGATTTAGGAAGACTAGTAAACAGGACTACAGGTTAGCTATGCTGTGGTCAACCGTGTAGGAACTTCGCGTTTTTAGCATCCGTAGGAATATAAGGTGCCAAAGAGCCTGCTGCCATAGACGGGAGAACAAGTCGAGTCAGCTGGAGGATGATTTTATTCAAATTTAGACGTACAACTCATTATAGTTAATTCGGTCCCTGTACCACCTTGAAGTCCACCTTGGCTGAGATCAGCTGCCATACTATATGAGAGGTCAGGGATTCATCCGGGTTCAAAATGGCTAGTGAGATCTCCCTGGGCGTAACACCGGAGGGAGAATGTGCCGTGGTGGTCCAGTCGGCATTTACAAGTAAGGATCCATTTTCTGGATTTATGTCGCCTGTCTCTGGACTGAATAGCATGAGATGCGTAGGATAACTTTCAAAAAAAAAGGAGGAGCCTATATAGACGCGTTAGTTGAGTTGTAATCGCATTTAGAGATTTAGGGATATGTCATACACGAGCCATCAACCTGGCAGGAGTAATACCCTGAACCTCAGGAAGTAGCGGGGCCAGGACCAGGGTCTTGAAGAGCCAGAGTCCATGGCACAGATTGCAATGAGAGGGTGGCAGCGGTTAACGTAATAGGGAGGTTGGTGGATATAGAGGTGGTGTCAGCATTTAGCAATTGGCAACAGGGGGGGAGGGCAACTCATATGGAGGCGAATACGGCCTGTAATCTGTCGTAATCTCGGCTTACGATGGCATGTCTGGGGATGGATGACTGAGCCCATGGAGACAAGCAGGAAGAGAATAGAGAACTTACTGGTTCTTGATGCTATTTGATGGGCATCGAGAGAAGTTGGTTCGCTGGATTGTAATAGTACTCCAGTTGGTTCCATGGAAGGATACAGCACGGCAGAGAAGCTCAGTCTTGATGGGGATCAGCGAGTATGTCATATCAGAATTCAAGAGATTTACCTCATCAATATTCGACTGGGAGTGTGTCTGAGCCTGATCAAGATGCTGGTTCCATCGCTTCGAGCATTCTAAACTGCTCGTAAGACTCTGCGAAACCGATAAATATATATGTAAGGAACCCACGGTCAGCGCTTCGGGTATGTAGCGTCCCGACAACGGTAACCCATCTGAAGCAATTTAGGTAACGATACTAGATGCAAGTGGGTGTGGAGTTACCTTATTCCAACTGTGGACTGCACTCCGAAGGCGGTCGTCCTCAGTGCTACTCCAAGGCCCCTTTTTGAATTAGGATTGTAAGAAATTTACCTAGAGCTTCCGGACATCGCAACTCAACCGTCCCGGTAGCTGGCGCATCCCAACGAGTCGTTGGCGTGCTGTTCTCTGCAAGGAGTACATGGGATGAGAACCTGACCAAGCTGCCTGTTGAAGAAGCTCTACCAATACATTGTCGCGCGTATCTACTTTGCAGAATCTGATTTTCTGATTCACTCCACAGTCGAGCGCCTATTTTGGTCGTCTATAATTGGACACACAATTGAATCTTGATGTAGAAAGTGAGTAGAAACTCTATGAGCGCCTAGCAAGTTACATAATAGCACAGTAATAGTACAGTAATTGCTTAACTGGAAACCAGTTCACCTCTAACTCAGTTGCACCCAAAGAAATTCCCATGACCATGTGTGCCGCGAGCATGTCGCTCAAAATGAGCATGAGCGCTTCTACCCGACAAATGAGGTTCCTCTTGGTCAGCCGCATCAAATACTGACGCTGAACCTAGGTCACTGTTGTCAAGAGGGTAGAGTGAGATCTTTACCACCTCCTCAGCCTCCGAGCCCACTTTAAAGAGGTCGCTCAGGCCGTCCTTTAGCATTCGCGTGAGTGCTTCGGGGTCACTTCGGGGCTCATGAATAATGTACTTGTCTGGGAACCAGTCGCAATTGTACCAGTCGCAATTCTACCAGAGCGCAGGCCGGAAATGGCAGAGGCCCGTTGAGTTCTGTCGCTTGGTGACTGTAGAATCGCTGTCAATCAACGTGCCAGAACCACCATTACATAGCAGCGGGCATGACAGGTTTCCTATTGTGCTAGTGTCAGGCTATGAGGCTACCGAAACAGGCATCACCGGTCCCATTGGCCACCAGAGCCTTGGTGCCGCCTCTCTTGCTCAGGGGATAGCTGTTTGAATAGGCCATACAGTCTATTTCTTGAACCCCCAATTAGGGACCAATTGCACTTCTTTGTGGTTAGGAAATAGCTATGTAAGAACACGCATGACTAGGTCCATGAATTCCAGGATGAAAGGGCCAGTTAAGGACCACTGGAGAGTTATAGATGCATGCTGCTTCACAGACATTATAAATCTATTACTTTTAAGGGCTAATATAGCAAGAATTATCTAGAGGTGATGCCAGAATGAAACTGCTGCTTTCTTTCTCATTCATACTTTCATAGTCGCGGTCACTTCTTCTGTAGAAGGGAGCAGAACTGACCGAATCAGAGACAGAATTAGGGAGATGAAATCTTAAAAATAGTCAGACTAAACCAAGAAGATAGCAATCTCATATAAATTAGTGAAGGAAACAAGGAAGGTCCCCGCACTCACAGTCAATGTCATTGTCATGATTGTCTTTGTCTCTGTCACACCCCGGGATCTGTCTCTGCTATTCTCTGCTAGTCACTACTTTATTATAACAGCTCTGATGTTATTGAGTAACTCCTTTTTCAAGGCAATATTGAAGTCGACATTTAGGATGCAAATAAACAACAAACACCTCTAGTAATTATGGGTATGTGGAACCACATCCAGATTGTCCATCTTCTGCTTGCCAACAGCCACACCAACATGAACATGAGTGGGCGGGTCATGGATCTTCCCGGAAACCTTGCAACCACCAAATCACCCATTATATCCAGACTTTCATCCAATATAGCCTGCAGATTCGGCAGCCAAATTAGAAGATCTCATATATTGACAGGGCCAAGCGAACGTAACCGGATCAGTCTCGCCAGGGAAGTGCATTCACAGCAAACAACTCTTAAAAACGTCGCAATAGAGCGCACTTCGATGTTGAAATCTAAGACTAACCCTAACTCTGAACAGTACTTCCGCGCTCCCGCGCCTCCCGCTGCCAAGGGACCTACTTTACCGAGATTCTGTATCACAAGATACCCACTTTGGGCTGGAAATGACACAATCTTGTGGAAAGCTTACCCAGAAGCAAGCTTATCATGGACTAAGCGTTTTTACCTGGAATAAAAGGTACCAGGGGCTTAGTTTTGCTTCTGAACTTTTAAAGGGGCTGGTTGTACTGTAGTCAATGTCGATGCAAAGGCGTGCATGGACATCGCAAGGCCAACGGCCAATTCAGTCTGAAGACTAGTTTGAAATCCGACTGGGGTCATAGGTCTAGGTGCAGGCTTATATAAGCTCGCGGTATGAACAGGTACCTACACTAGGGTCGGATAGACTAGGACAGAGGGCTGGGGTGGTAAGCTCAGATGCTGAAGACCTGAGTAGTACACTGATTAAGTGCGCAGGCCTTCTGACGTAAGACCAGGCAACAGGGAGAATTTGGAAATGGGCCAATCAGCAAAATACCGGATCCTAGCGTTGTGACATTCCGCATCATGTGCCCTAGATGTCCACCAGCATATCCAATGAGACGCGCTGCACAATTCTCTCAGACGCTTCACTACTTGAGGGTCACTTGGCAGCCTGCCGACCTCCCACCCAGAAAACCAGGCTACAATGAAAAGGTGTTGGGGTGGGAAACTGTGGTACCTTAAATAGGACCCTCGTGGTCAACAATACATGGCAATCTATGGGCACCTTTGACCAATGTTGGCACAACAGTAGGGTGACGCTTTGTTCGGATCTCCACAAAACTTTCGAATCAGTCAAGTGTATTGAGGTTATTTGACAACCATCTCTCGTCAAATCGAAACTCTTGGGATAAATGGCATCAAAGTAAGTGTTAATGTTCGAATCCGAAGCGCCAATCTACCCAGAAGAGATAGATCAGGAGGGGACAATATCAAATGAATATCAGAAGCGAAAGGCCATTGACAGATACTCACTAAAAGTTTTTAAAGCACAATTGACAATGGATTCCACGACATCGCTATCGTGCGGGCAACAGTGGACGCCGTTCCGGCAGTCCTCCATCTCCTAGATACCGCAGTCCAATGGCTGGTATCGCATGACAGAATTGGGCAATGGGGAGCAGCACCGTTTTCTGAGAATCCAAAACGCGCCAAACGACTCAGAGAATTTGCAACAACCGGCCATGGTCTTTGGCTCGCTATCAAGGTTACTGATGATACGCCCTTACTGGGCCAAAATCAACACTCCAATATAAACCCCCAAACTATGAACGGAGAAGCTCCGGGGATCATCTTAGGAGCGGTTGCTATTGGAGACAGGATGCCTTATGTGCCACCTGTTTCTGAGCCTGAGCTTTACGTGCGATTATTAGTCACGGATCGACGATGGGCTGGCAACAAGATTGGCAAACGCCTTTTGGAACATGCACGTGATCTTGCCAACAGGGCTGGAGTCTCATTACTACGGGTGGATTGCTATGCAGGTGGCGACGGCAAATTGGTCCAATATTATGAATCTCAAGGGTTTAAGCAATCTGAAAGTTTGAATCTGGAAGGCG